ACGAGAGAGGTCAGAAAACGACTGGCGAAGGAGTGTAATGGCATTTTCACTATGACACGGGCACCGAAGGCCGGCATGGGAATATTGAACGCCACTGGGTAGAAACCCGTTGCGTTCTGCGCTCGACTTGCTAGTTTTCGACTTTTGCTTACAGTACAGCCTCTTTGGATGCCTGCATATTCATCGTACACATTTGAGAGATTTTAGCCTCAATTTATTCTGACCGTGTCTTTCAAGGCCGAGTGGTGCGGTTGTCCCGCTACTAACTCTCTGCATTCCGCATGATGACAGGACATGGTAGGAAAAAAGGCTGGCATCAAAAAGTGAAACCTTTCCATATACATACCAGACCCAGCATGGAGTTCTACATTGGGCACTTCAAATGGGGTTTTTTCTGCGTTTTCTTCAAGTTTATGTTATTCACCATTCTACCATTAGCATATGAGCCAAAAACTCACTATCTTTTTGCGTGGAGAAATGCCTTTGACGCTTCTCCCTCTCTTACGGACTGTGCTGCATTCTAGAAATACCCACCTTCGACAAGCTATCCAAAATTTTTCTCTGTATTTTCCGATAGCTTTATTCTGCTCACATGTATCAGAGGGTAATTTTCTTGTCATGAAATGTTGTCATGTGGGAAATGGGAAAAGAATGACATACTTATACTGGTCTGGCATGAGTACTGATTTTGCCATTGAACCAAACGACACCAGTACGGACGTGTTCTTCAAGTTCAGTATATTGTTCCATTCCTGCAAGAATAGGGTCAGCATTTCGAGCATAGCCACGTAGAGACACTTTATGCAGTCAACTGTGTTGATCCTTTCTATGTGTGAGGGTACTCAGATGCCAACTGTATTGCTTCAGCCTCTTGAGAAGGAAGCTACAGAGCAGAGGATTGCTGTAGGATGAATATTGTAATAACATCGTCCTCTATATGGTAAATCTGCAAGGGACCTCGAGATACAGTACCCGCCGTAAGTGTTCAAAAATTTACGAAAAAAACGCCGATCCGCGTTTTTTTCGTTTTTTCGTTATAGAGCTGTTCTTTTTGATTTTTTGTATGGATACCCATATATTATTAGAATCAGCTCGCCGAGCTCTATCCTCTATGCAATTGGTTTTTTGCTGGCGCCATTTTGGCAACAGCAAAAACCTTGGCGCCGCAGCTTTGCAAGCCTGTATAAACTCGATTACTGGGGCTACTCAAAGCCCTGTTTACGAAAATGACATTCATTTCTCGCCGTGGCGCCATTTGGCGCCATTAGGTGCCAATTTGGCGCCACTAGCGCCACTTTGGCGACACGACCTTTCCCAAAAAATCTGTATAAACTTGCATAATGGGGTTTCTCGGTGCCCTGATCACGAATGTAACATTCCAAGGCCATGGCGCCGTTCCGGTGCCATTTGGTGCCAATTTGGCGCCACTACTTTTTTCACCCAAAATCTTTGTAAACTCGCAGCCTGGTTGGAATGAGCACGTGATCGTCATTTGCAGAGCATACATAAATCACGTGAGCTTGCGGCGCTGGGGGCTCTGCGCTAACCATAGCCTATTGTTCACGTGAATTACTGCATGTCCTTGCCTAAAAACCTCCTTACAGGAGTTATTCGGTGCCCTGTTCACGGAATTGCCATTCATTTCTAGCTATGGCGCCATCTGGCGCCAGTAGAAGCCATTTTGGCGCCACCTTGGACGCCACCTCAGCGCCACAACTTTTAACTGGCCAACCAACTTTTCTACCCTCCGAGAATATGGTAAAGGGTACTTTGGCGAGGCGCCTGTGGCGCGGGCGCCAGGCATCTCCAGGCCAAGAGGGTGTGGTATTTATGTTCGGGAGGTCGAATTTACCCCAGGGATAATTTTCTTCGAAGTTGGTTGATTCTAGATCTCTCGCCGTCTCCTAACCTCCTCCCTTGATGTTCTTTCCATGCAAGGGCGATTCCGCTCAGTCAGTGACTGGAGACACGCAATAATCACGTGAGGATCACGTGATCGTGATTCAAACGCTTGCATTCAAAAGCGATCGATGGGCTTTACGCGCGCTTTTGGGTGCAAGCGTTTGAATCGCGATCACGTGATCCTCACGTGATTATTGCGTGTCCCAGTCACTGACTGAGGCGGAATCGCCCTTGCATGGAAGGAACATCTGAGGGAGGAGGTTAGGAGACGGCGAGAGATCTAGAATCAACCAACTTCGAAGAAAATTATCCCTGGGATAAATTCGACCTCCCGAACATAAATACCACACCCTCTTGGCCTGGAGATGCCTGGCGCCCGCGCCACAGGCGCCTCGCCAAAGTACCCTTTTTACCATATTCTCGGAGGGTAGAAAAGTTGGTTGGCCAGTTAAAAGTTGTGGCGCTGAGGTGGCGTCAAGGTGGCGCCAAAATGGCTTCTACTGGCACCAGATGGCGCCATAGCTAGAAATGAATGGTCAATTCCGTGAACAGGGCACCGAATAACTCCTGTAAGGAGGTTTTTAGGCAAGGACATGCAGTAATCACGTGAACAATAGGCTATGGTTAGCGCAGAGCCCCCAGCGCCGCAAGCTCACGTGATTTATGTATGCTCTGCAAATGACGATCACGTGACCATTCCAACCAGGCTGCGAGTTTACAAAGATTTTGGGTGAAAAAAGTAGTGGCGCCAAATTGGCACCAAATGGCACCGAACGGCGCCATGGCCTGGAATGAATGTTACATTCGTGATCAGGGCACCGAGAAACCCCATTATGCAAGTTTATACAGATTTTTTTGGGAAAGGTCGTGTCAGGGCTTTGAGTAGCCCCAGTAATCGAGTTTATACAGACTTTGTTGGAAAAAGTAGTGGCGCCAAGGTGGCGCCAAGTGGCGCCAAAATGGCGCCAGCAAAAAACCAATTTCGTAGAATATGAGCATACCCTCGGATAGAGCTCGGCGAGCTGATTCTAATAATATATGGGTATCCATACAAAAAATCAACACTCACGGCGGGTACTGTGATAAAGAATACCTTTGATAAAATATTGTTCTCGGGATCGATGTCTATTGCGATACCTCCTATTGGTATGGTTTTGTGAAGCATAGGACGTGGAAAGTCGAGGTAGGGATTCGAGTTTGTGAAAATGTAGGACACTCCAGCCAAGAGTTCCTGAATAGAGAAAGCGGAAATTATTGACTCATTTGTTTTCTACAATCCTGTAAATGTTTCATTCAGCAGTTCTCCAGATTCGTTCAGATGGTGATTTTAACAGAAGATTTGGATAACAGTGAGAAGAAATTTCTTTCAGTTCTGTGCTTATTACCTACTAGTTCCTGGAGGAGAGCGATGTCCGCCAGCATTACCACTTAAAGACAGCTCCCGCGATAAGTCTCATGGATAGCTGCTTTCCAATTATGAAACAGCAGCTGATAAGTAATCTCCCAAAGAAGAAAACAGGCAAGAAGCGTTCTCCAGAACAACATAAACAAAATCGCTCCCTCACAGTTACACCTCCCTGCGGTCTCTGTGCAGCCCCTAGCTCACAAATCTCTCTATCACATCTCGCAGTAGTTGATATCATCCAGTGCAAAAGAAAGAATACAAAAAGAAAACAACAAAAACGCAGAGGAAAAACTCTGGGAAGGAAAAAGGAATTTTATCAACACGGTGTCTGAATTTGTGATTACGGTAGCGCACCTTTTGTGCGTCGTGGTTTTGCATCACGAAAATTGCGTCACTCGTGTTTTTTACGCGTTTCACCTCGCGAAATGGGTTGAATTGAATGTATATACCTCCAATGAGTAAACTGTAATGAAGGAGAGCAGAATTATCCAGGGGCATTAGCAATGCCCGCCGCCCCAACTAAGAACAAGTGAGTGGCCTCCGTCGGAGGACATCTAGCAAGTAAAGGCGGTCCGACTGAGGAGGAGTTAGAACTAGCACTTTGAGCGGCTATAGCAGCCTCCACGCTCACAATAGAGTCGCGAAAGGTGAACAGTCTTCTAGCTTGGAGGCTAGACTACTTGCACAGCAAAGGCGACCACGAGCCACTTTGATCGCGGGGGCTGTCTTTAAGGGTCTTAGCAACCTTAACCATCGACCAGCGTACCTGGCTGCCTTTGAACTGTGGCCCGAATTTGGCTCGGAACGCTTCAATTTCTGATTCTAGGATATTGTTGTAAAATATTTCTCCGAGCACCGCACCTATCATATTCTTGAATCGTTGAAAAATGTTCATACGATCACCATTTGTAGCCATACCACCTGAAGGAGAACGCGATTATTCCAATAATGCAACGTAGTATAAGGAGGTAGTGAAAACACTTGATCTTCCTTGTACAAATGATTCTGAAGAATCAGCAATCAAGAACCAGTTTCTTCCCAATTTCCCAGGATTAAAGCAAACCACACTGTTCTCCTTTCATCTGTTAGGTGGAAACTTTTCCTTGCACAAATAGCTCAATCTGCAATAGTATAGAGTGCACCACTTTCCTAGCTTGGAGGCCGTCACCTGACACAGTTTGCTACCCACTGGAGAGCGGCCCCATACAGTGATGGTCGTTGCCTTCATACTGGCCATGTCTGCCCTTCCTATCGTCTTTCTATTCACCCATTGTTTGCCCTTTGCACTCTCTCTGCACTATCAGTGGTATTTTAGTGTTCGCTAATGCTGAAAATGGATCACAAGAGGAGGGTCCTAATCAAGGCATATCTAGTTTCTTTCGCTTGCTTCAGTAATTGTGAGTTAGGTAGCACCCACAACTTCATATGTAAGCCATAATGTCCACGAGGCGGAGGTGGTGTAGTGACAAGTGGCGCGCTTACCACTCGCGCGGCGCCGGGTTCGAATCCCGGGTCGACTCCCGCCCAGGCCAACCAAGCCTTCTACCCTCCGGGGACGGTGAATTGGTACCAGATTCGTCTGGGAGGATAAAACACTGACTTGTACATCGGCTGGCCACCGCAAGTCATTGTATAGGCCACATCGCATTCAATAAGCCACTACGATTCTGAATGGAAGTAGAATGCGTGCCGCATCCCACAAAGGGATTGATCAACGGCGAAGACTTTATCCTTTTTTCCTTTGGTGTCCACGACTAGCTTTCGCAAAATGTGTTTTTAGGAAGAAGGGCAAATGCGCTTGGCTATTTTTTTCCAGCTCTTACAGGATGTGTCCAAGTTGTTGACACCATTACTTTTGAGACAATGATGAGGAACTAAGACTTTCCAGGAACATAGCTAGGAGTAACCGGTTCACCGATGCTTTTGGAAAGACTTTCGGCATACGCTATAGACCTGACAGCGATTGAAGCATTGATCTTCAAAAGCTCGAAGATTCCTGAATAAAAGTTTGTGAAAGATTAGCACTTATTTACACTCTCTTCAAGATGTACCTAGCCCGCAGATCATGATGGTCTCTGTGATGCCAACATCAAACTTCTCATCATGCAGTCGTTGTATTAGCGCATCGTCATTGAAGAGAGCTAAATACAAGAAATACGTCTCAAAATAGTGCTGTCCCGGAGCCTCATTGCAATCTGAATGTTGAACACATAAAAGAGGCGCCAAAATTTATTGCGAAAGACTCAAAAGATTCAAAAGAATCCAAAAGTTTTCACAAAATTTTTTTATTGTTTATACTCTTCTTCTTCGAATATTTCGGTGCCTAGCACCTTCTTCAGCGATCTGGTCTGCTGCCTCCAGTATCCGCCAGTATGCCGACGCTGCTCCTTGCGAGTGCCGCGCCTTCTAGTTAACTAGTTACCACTAGAAGGCGCGGCATTCGCAAGGAGCAGCGTCGACATACTGGCGGATACTGGAGGTCGCTGAAGAAGGTGCTAGGCACCGAAATATTCGAAGAAGAAAGAGTATAAACAATATAAAAAATTTTTGTGAAAACTTTTGGATTCTTTTGAATCTTTTGAGTCTTTCGCAATAAATTTTGGCGCCTCTTTTATGTGTTCAACAAGAAATCGGTTTTGCAAGGCTATGAGCGGCCGATATTTCAGAGAAGATCAAAGTGACAAGGAATGACAAAGAGAAGCAAAAAAAGTGTAAGGAAAAGTCACAAAAGAAAATTGAAACTTCTCTCTTCACATCCTCGAGACCCTTCAAGCAGATGCTTCTGTTTTCAATCAATCCAACAGATCAGCTGTTTTCAAGTAATTCTGAGGCTAACTAACTAACCTTCACACTGATTGGCAGCTATTGATGTCATGTTCTTCGCCATCTGAAATATATATTGTTATCATATGTCAGTTCAGTTATTCAGTCGTGCCGTAACGAAAGTATTCAGCTGCGAACTAAGCGAGTATTCGCCGCAGAGAGGAGCACGCTAAACTGGGCGCTGCCGTGTTGGGTAGGCAAGAAGCTGTTTGTCGCTGTTTACACCTAAATCTGGGTATACTTGTAAAGTTTCTATCAGGCTGGAAAGGAAGATTGTCACTGCGGTAATTTTTTGTACCTTTTCTATTTTCTAACCCAACATGCAATAGCACTTGATCAGCAATATACTCGCCATTATTGACCAATACCGTGCTCTATCTAATGGACAGGTCAGCAATCCCCTTTTCACAGAGCAGGGAGAGGCTACCAGTCGAACAAGTCAGCAAACATTCTACTGATGCCAAAAAATTTGCTGACTTTTCTCAGCTAAGAGAGCCTCAAGGGAGCGGGACAGGTAGTAATAGTAGGGGCCTATATCAGAAGGATACGGTGGGCGGGGTGAGGCCTCCCAGTTGCTCCTCAATTTTTCGGAAACTCATTGTGAGGCTCTCGTTCATCCCGAACGACATGTCCCAAAGCTGCTCCCGATCATATTTCTCCAACAGTTTCCACGGATTTCTGGAAGTTGTGTAGATGCTAGCGGTGACCGTGTGTTCTTACAGGGCACCTCGTTGTGCAGCGATTCCCTTGCGTCCCAGGAGCAGCACAGGAGGACTGCCCAGTTTGGCCTGATAGGGTTTTTTTCGAGGCAGTCACATGGTGCTGTATGAATTGGAATCACAGAGAACTCACCTCTCACCCCACTAGCAGTCTCCGAAGAATTCCTCTTGACGAGGGCGGAGAAGAAGAGACTGACCAGTGGGTACCCCGGCGCACCCCGTGTCATTCGTGGAGGTATGAGGCATCCATCAAGCTACCACTGTTCCATAGTCGTGGGCTTACAGACGGTTGACAACTGTCCTCAGGTAGATCCACGTCTTGCCGCAGGACTGCAGATGGTAGCCTCCTCCTACACCTCGAAAGCCTCGAAAACGGTGGAGTCTCCCACTTTGTGTGGCCGTACCAAGGTTTGACTTAGAAGATGCTGTCTCCTTTCGCGAAACGAGCAAACCTGCGGTGGACAGTCCTGATGGTACCGGCCCTCTGTCCCTGTCCCTCCTCTTCGAATCGAGCCGTCGAGCGGGGGCGGGGGTATATACTACACGCATGAAACAGGAAAATCACGAAAAGTCAACCACCACTCCCACCACTCCTAGAAAGGCCAAAAAGTAAATACGACCCCCCCCCTTTTACAACGTCCGTGAAGCGAGAAAAATCGAATCAAAATAAAATTTCCTCGGCCCAAATACGACTTACCCCTCCTGGGGCCAAATACGACCCCTTTATTGTATTGGGGATTCCCCAACAACGATGTGCCCTGCTCCCCAAACTGTCGAGGTTGCACGACTGCAGTCGCTCCAGTGCCGGGGCACAATCAGAGAGGATGATGACCATTCATAGAAGATAATGATTTGGAGTTGTTGATGGTCTTTTTTTCAGAATTTTTCGAGCAGTTCTATTCAGTCGCCCCAACAGAAAAGGAGAAACTCTTAATAATTCCCCGGAGAGTCCGATCCTCGAGATCAGGCAAAGGTATTCACGGTTCTACCTGTGCTTACTCTTACGATGCATATAAAGTCGTGCCCTATGCAATTGCTAGGGCGTGTGAAAGGGCGAGGACTCGAGCCCAGCGAAAACAGACTCTTCAGTTGCTGCTGACTCAGGATGGCAATAATTAGCAAGAGAAAGGGTCTCGGTGACTCTCCAATCCACGCCCTTCCTACGCCCTACCGCTTGCAGGATCATGGCTAAGCTCAATCCAACAAAAGTTGGAGCTATCAAGTTCTTATGTGTTGAATTGATTACCTGAAGCATTCCGAATACGGATGGTTCCATTGTCCACATTTTGCTCAGCATATCATTTTTATATTGCATCATGAGACGGTTACGTGGATCCGCTGGGGTTTTGATGACTTTTTTGGTCAGCTTTACCCCCGTTTTATTTTGCTGCTCCTCATCCATTACTGGCATTAATACAGTCTAAAATTATGATTTGTTTTTTCTGAAAATACTCCTGCGAGGAAGCTCGAATCCTTTGAAGGCAGTTGGCATGGGCATGGTGAATTGGCCGTCGGCCTAAAATGATAGCAGGGCCCCCTATATAGTGGGAAAAGAAAACGGCCAAAAAAAACGACGTGAA